CTATACCAAGATATGATAGTTCTAAGAAAACTGAAGTTTGGAACCTGTTTTACAAAATTCCAGTTTTGACGTACTAGATAGAGTTTCAAAATCTGATCATAACTAGAGCTACACAACTCAAAATTTAGTGTGGTTTGTGGCGTTAAAAACTAGATTCAAAATACTAAAATTCACTAGAAGGAACTGTCATAAAATTTGTTTTGCAAGATAGGCAAAATTGAGCTACAAACTGCAGCTAGAATTGTTTCTCGGATGCAAGCGGAGAGGAATTTCAGTCATCTTGGCTTGTTCACTACGGCTCATAGGAAACGAGTTAGGGGGTGCATTTTATACCAACAGAAAGCTCTCGGAGTCTAGTTTCAGATGCCACAAACGACACTTGATTTCAACTCTCAGATAGAGAGTTATGACCAAAAAGTGAACACTGGTTGGAGTAATCTGATCAGAAATTTTCCAGAATTCAACCTCATTTTAACCCTACTTAAACACAACCAAATGGAAAGCTTTTTGGAAGGTAATTCATACACATAACCACCAATATGTATCAAGCATTATTGCACCAAAATAATATCAAAATTTCGAAATTAACAAGAGAGGAACAACCAGAAATTTTCGGCCAGCATACAACTCTCATTCCTCTAGCTTTCTTTTCAACTTTGCAACTAGAACTAAACCATATCTCATCAAAGCAAGTAACAAACAAGCAATTACATACACAAAATCCTCAAAGTCTCTACCTATCAAGCCACCTCAAGTCCACTACCTAATGTCAAGGTTCCTGAGAACCCATCAACAGCCCAACAACTATCTTGTTATCACTAACTAACTACTAACTTACTACTATGAATTGAAGAGGAAAAGTTGAGGGTTTCATGGAGGTTTACCCTGCTGCCCAAAATGAAGAGTAAACACTAGGGATTTGAGCTTCTAAATCACAAAGTTTCTTCCTTGATCAAGTCCTCTTCCAAGCTTGTATGAAAACCCAAGACAAGAAGCAAGTGTGGAGAGCTTTCTTGGAGCAACAATGGAAGAATGAAGCTGAAATTTTTTGTTGAGAAGTGGGAGGGGGATGGCCGGCCAAAGAGGGAAGAGGGAAAAGGGTTTGTGGCTTTTGGTTGATGTGATTTGATGAGAAAGGTGCCATGACAGAAAGTTCTCTTGGGTATAAAAAGTCAACACTTGAATAGTGGACTATTAGTGCTCCAAATTGAGTTTAATTTAACTCACTCACATCTAATCCCTCAATTAGTTTTCTTAGTCTACTAATGATCATCATAATTCTCCAAGATTATTGCACTCTCGGATTGAATTTACCTCAAAAAATGTGCATGCACTATTTCTAGCTAAACGAGTCGCAGAAAAATTAAATTCGCTAACGAAACATTTTAAAAATATAAAAGAGACATGATTCCATGCAAATGGATTTAAAATGGGTGAAATAAATTATTCGGAGTAAACGGATAAATAAATAATTAAATAAGACAATAAAATGAAATAAAAGTAAGTAAAATAAAAATTCGGATCCTCACAATAGGCCTTTTTGCTAAAACACTTGGCCGATGAAGAAGCATTTTGGAAACAGAAAGCAGCGAGAGTTAAATGGCTAACGGAAGGTGACTCTAATACAAGATATTTTCATTCTTCCCTTCAGGATAAACGAGCTCAGCTTACCATTCAAAGAATAAAGAATTCGGAGGGAGTCTACATTGAGGGAGAGGATAACATTGGAGTAGTGGCTATAGACTTCTTTAAGTCTTTATTGACAGAATCTTCGGCGGTGGACAACCAAGCAATTTTGAAACTTTTCAATAATATTTCGAGTTTGGTTACTCCGCAACAAAATGAGCAGCTTATAAGGGAGGTCACTAAAGACGAAGTTAAGAATGCATTATTTGACCTAGATGGGCACAGTGCAACTAGGTGTGATGGCTTTGGGTGTAGGTTATATACTTATTGTTGGGAGGTTATTTCAGATGATGTTTTTCAAGCTACTCGGGAATTCATGAGTGGGGTTCCAATACCAAAGGGTATTGCGAGTACTATGGTGGTCCTTATTCCTAAAAAGGACCCACCTATGTCTTTTGCAGATTTTAGGCCAATTAGTCTTTGTACTTTTATAAATAAAGTGTTCACCAAAATCCTAAGCTCTCGATTGAAAGCTGTGCTTCCTGTCTTATCTCATCCGAGCAATCTACTTTTGTTAGTGGTAGAGAAATCTCTGATAACATCTTGCTTGCGCAGGAGCTGGTTAGTTCAATTGATAAGGGGGCTAGGGGGCATAATGTCATCCTCAAGCTTGATATCATGAAGGCATTTGATCGAGTTGCTTGGGATTTTTTGTCACGGTTGCTAGCTCAATTTGGTTTTCATTCTTGGTTTATCTCTTGGATAATGAATAACTTGGCCTCAGCTTGGTTTTCTATACTCGTCAATGGGAAACCATGTGGTTTTTTCCAAGCAAAGCGTGGTTTGAAACAAAGGGATCCACTGTCTCCTTTTTCTTTTCATATTGGTGTTGGAGACTTTGAGCTGAGGATTGAAGAATTTGATTTCATTAAGGAAATTGCAACCATTTGCAATAGGCCGAGGGTGTATCCCAATTTTGTACTTAGCATTTGCGGATAACATTATCATTTTTACAAGAGAAGACCGACGTTCAGTGAAAGGCCTCATGGATTTTTTGGAGCTATATCAAAATGGTTCAAGTGGAAAGCTTAATAAAGACAAGAGCTTTTGTGTGGTGTCTTCCAAATGTTCGGCAGCTAAGCAATAACTGATTGCTCGTTGGACTAGTTTTCAGCAGAAAACACTTCCCTTTGTTTATTTGGACTGGAAACTTTTTAAAGGGAAGAGCAAAAAAGAACATTTTCAGCACATAATTTATAAGTTGCGGATGAAATTAGCTGGTTGGAAAAATAGTTACTCTCTGCTGGAGGCCGTCTAATACTTATAAAACATGTTTTGGTTGCTATACCATTGTACACCTTTGCTGTTTTAAAGCCTCCTAGAAGTGTATTGAATTAGCTAAAGAAGATAAAGTCTTCTTTCTTTTGGGGGGAGGTTGACAGGAGGGACAAAAGGCATTGGATGAAATGGAGCAAGCTGTGCAAGCCAATACAAGAGAATGGATTGGGGTTGAATTAGTTGCAAAACATCCTAAAAGTTGTTGGGCGCAAATTATGGTGAAAAATGTGCTCGACTGATATGCTATGGTCCCAGTTTAAGCACTCAAAATATGCAACTGCTGCTCAACATTTGAATATAGCAACCCTTAGGACGTCAAGTTCGGGTTGCTGGAGGTGAATGCTTGGTGGAGGAAATTTTGTAGTTGCTGTTAAGGAATGGCAGCTCCTAATTTTGGTATGATAATTGGTTAGGTTTTGGTCCTATGGAGCTCAAAAGCTGCAAGTACCGTTGTCTAACGTTTGTATTCGAGATTTATTGAGTAATGGAATTTGGAATTTGGAATTTGGAGACGGTAAAGGTTGGCCTCACATATGAAGAAAAGACGCGAATTTTGCGATCACATATTCAGCTTTCTAAGGGCATGGATTTGATGGCATGGTATCCAACAATGAGTGGCAACTTTCAAATATCCTCTGTGCTGGATAAACTTCGGCAACCCTCCAATTCAATGGTGTCCAGGAAACTAATTTGGAGTAAGTGGGCTCCGTTAAAGGTGTCGATATTTATATGGAAATTACTTAACCTTATACTTCCCTTTCCAGATGTATTGCTGCATTTTGGGTTCAATCTTTCCTCTAAATGTCCGTTTTGTCACAATGAAGATAGTATACACCACGAGTTCGTAAAGTGCCAATTGGCGGATCAGGTATGGCAGAAAATGGAACAAAACCTGGGTGTATATACATTGCCGTTGGATAATATCATGGTCAAGTTGCATAGTTGGTGGACACATTACTCTGGGAAGTCAATAATGACTGAGTTGGCTCAGACAGTTCCTCTATTCATTTGTTGGTAGCTGTGGAAGGCAAGGAATAGAGCAATTTTTTAGGATTTCAACATGACGGCGGATCATATTTTCGCTCAGGTGCTTCGGTTGTTGCATTCTATTGCTTTATCTCATCCTTTTATTGTGAGGAATGATGGTGACAAGAGTCTTTTGCATACGGGAATTTTGTGTTTCTTTAAACGTTCCAGGCCCATAAAATGTCTTAACTCTGGCTTAGTCTCTGCCAGTACCTCCTTATGCAAAGCTGAATGTTGATGGGTCTTCAGTTGAGAATCCAGGATACTCGGGAGAGGGGGAGGGGTGGAGGCTTTGTTAGGGATTCACACGGCTGGGTTCTAACAGCATTCTCTTCATTTTATGGATTCCAAACTAATATGAAGGCTAAAGCTATGACATTGTTGGAGGGGCTACAATTATGCTTATCTTTGGGCCTTCACAATGTTATTGAGAAATTGATTCCCAAGCTTTGCTTACCTCTGTTAAAGGGTTGGAAAGGTGTCCTTGGCGAATTGATGGGGACATCATACATATATGCAGTTTATTAATTAAGGCTAAGTTCATTCTAACACATTGCTATAGAGAGGTCAATTTCGCTACGGATGGTCTTGCAAAACTAGCGCTACGGACTTGGGCTTTGACAGTCTTTGATTCTACTACGTTGCCGTCGTTACTCACTGCAATTATATGTTTAGATGCTAAGCAATTTCCTTATGTGAGGGAGTAGTACTCCTGTTTTCCTTTAAACTAGGAGGTATAAACCGCGCCCTGCGCAGTGGCGATAAAAATGTGTATGCCCAATGTAGTATAAATAACCATGAAGTACAATATTAAAGATACACCTATATATACAAGAACATTACTATTATATGAAAGACAAAGAAACTGGAGTAAAAAAATGTAACACAAGACCAAAAGAATCAAGAGATTACTGCTTGCGCACTTAGCTAACAATCTGCCAGCAATTAAAGTTTATAAAAGAAAAGAACCAATGTCTCGAAGAACAGGTTTAATCAAAATTCCCAAAAAAAAAAGCTCATGAATTGAAGTGGTTGCCTCTCCGGCAGGCAACTTTGAATCTCATCCAACAACCCTTTAACATAAGCAATTAAAATGAAAGAATCCATTGATATCCCGAAATCTTTTCCTTGTTTTCCAGGAATATCTCTTCTGGAAATGACTTCAGTCCCAGTAGACACATCACGAGGTCGAATCTCAATCCTTAGAGGTACTCCCTGCAGAAAAGCTAGGTAAATTTCAAAGCACAATCGTATTACATTCAACTGTAAAATAATATTTCTTGAGATCCACACACATAACTTCTTAATATGGAATTATTAATAGCAACAGCAGACGTTTCAAAATTGAAACTTCATTCCCTCTCAGAAAACAAAGCCAACAACAGTAAGTTGGCCTTCAATAGATATCACTTGACTTGTTAATTATTCAAGCCAGTCTTCAAAAAGTTTTGGTTGAGCAAATCGCAATTGGAACCTAACCACTCAGTTTTTTTTTTTCAAACTAATTTTAAACAATAACTCTAAATGCTCAAGTGAAGTGAAGTAAGGTGACAAGTCTTCAAAGTAACCAAGCTTGGTGAGATATATTAGAATTAACCTTTAGGAATCTTAAAGCTCCAAGGAAGTTAGTTTAGATGTAGTCCCGTGCTCGTTAACATTCTAAGAAAAAAAATCATTTGAAATGCTTGTGGCCATGCATTTGGGATTTTCCTCTCCCTAAATTTCTCTTATTCTCACTCATGCTTTGGCGGGAGAAGTCCAATGGCAAGATAGATATTGGGCAAGATACAGAACATCTACAGAAGCAGGCAAACCTTCCATCTCCTAAAAGTTATATTTCCATCCAGGTGTTCTCTGATCAGAGTCATCAACCTTGACCTTTATTCCAGCTGCTTGCAGAGTTTCTTTCACTGATGATGTAGCATTAAGAACTCCAGTTCTATCACCTATTTTTTTTCCATATTGGGACAATCACAATTCGAAAGCAGTCAATAATAGGAGCTATTCCATCTCAAGAAAGACAATTTTTAATGCACATAGCCAGAAAAATGGAAGCGCTACAAAAGCAGAGAGCTCTTACTTTACTGCATTGATGAGTCCAATTTCGGGACCAAAATCAAAACAAAAGTTGCAAAACTAATGTAAAATGCTAGAAATACAAACCTGCACACGTTTAGGAAACCAAATAATGATTTAAAAAAATCAGCTTTGCAAAAATTAATCAGCCCGTTGAGTGCAAAACACAACATCCATCCCCAGCCCCCATTCACTCTATCTTTTGAGCAGACCCATTAGCAAATATAGTCAGTATAACAACCAAAAACATGCAATAGGCTCAGAAACAATTAATCAGTCTCTGTTAGAAGAAGATTCTCCTCTCCATGCATGAGGGCTCATAAAACTCTTCTGCATGAGTTTTATGAGTTCAGAACAAAGCACAAAAGAGTTTTATTTTTTTTGGGCAGCCTTTTTTTTGGGAGAACAAGACAAATATCAAAGGGCGGGGGACAAGAAAGAAGAAAAAAAATGCAGTAATTATGGTAGTTTAAAATAAGGCTCAGGTTTGTTAGTAAAAGTCAGGCAGAGATGAGAGTACCGCCATGGCTGCAAACCCAATTGCATTTGAAGGGAAGAATGAACCTCAAATGCAATCAGGGTTGCCTCGCCAAGATACGGCAATCAATTTAAAGCCTGAAATACATCTAATGAAACCAAAACCATATCATCATAGCCTAACTGAGAACAAAATAAATTAGCCTGTTTACAACTTTCATCTGCCGTAATACTCCAGCCAGAGAGCTACACCCTTTTCCAAAAAAATCACCATCCATCTTTGTAAAAACCTAACAAGAAACAAAAGGAAACATGAAGAAATATTCAAATCCAAGGAAAAATGAAGAGAAAATTGCTCATGAATAGACACATTTATTCACAAACATCTATAATGTACTTCTAAAAGTAGTTTACAAGTTCTACAATCATCAATCTAACTAAAACAGCGCTCAAGGAATTAAAAAGATAAGAATACATACATAAAAAAAATTAGCAAACTTACTCAGTGAAGGAGAACGTAGCACAACAAAAGCACCAAAAATTTCTTAAAAAGAAAAACACACGTATTAAAAACAAGCAAATTAAACAATAAGCATAATATCAATCTAAATATTCCACAAGAAGAGAAAAATCACGCGATTCAAAAACTGTAAAAATTGCTCACTGTAAGAATTGACAACAATATGGAGAATAGCATAGATAAAACAGAAATAGATGATTTTAGTTGTATCAAGTCTAATAAAAAGAAAGAAAAAAAATGTTGACGGTAGAAAGTGCTGAAAAAATAAGAAAATTTTGAACAGATCTGCAATGTATCTGGAAAGAAAAGATGATTGCTTGAAACCAGCACCAACAGAACTCGATAATGTTATTTTCTTGACAGTCATAGTCCATCCAGACAGAAAGCATATGAAAAAAGAAAATTTTTGCTCCATGGCCAGCTAAAAAAATAAAAAAGGAAGACAGACTCAGAAGCGTGGGAAAAGTCAATGCCCCAAGCGTCATTAAGAGCTTTAGAGGCCGAATGCATAACACGAAAAAAATAAAAGTGAAATGCTTTGGAATGAACAAAAGAGGAGCAACGCAAAAAAAAAGGCATGCAAAACATAGTCCATCCAGACAGAAAGCATATGAAAAAAGAAAATTTTTGCTCCATGGCCAGCTAAAAAAATAAAAAAGGAAGACAGACTCAGAAGCGTGGGAAAAGTCAATGCCCCAAGCGTCATTAAGAGCTTTAGAGGCCGAATGCATAACACGAAAAAAATAAAAGTGAAATGCTTTGGAATGAACAAAAGAGGAGCAACGCAAAAAAAAAAGGCATGCAAAACATAATACCTAGAGATAGGCAAAAAAAAAAAAACAAATTAAATGCATGAGTCAAAAATTATCTAAAGAAGCAGATCCCTAGGTTTAAGGATTGGACTAAACGACAACATAACAAGAACAGAGAACAAGAACAAAGCACAAAAGAGTTTATTTTTTTTCTGGGACAGCCTTTTTTTTAGGGAAAACAAGACAAATATCAAAGGGCGAGGGACAAGAAGGAAGAAAAAAAACCGAAACAGGCTAGAGACCAAAAAACACCACATGACAAAACGTACAACTATGCATGATGTACATGTTTTCGAGTTTGAAAGGGAGAACAACTGGAGCTTCCCGGAATGCAGACCAAAATCAAACCCATGTAGACTCAGACACCGGAACAACCAAACATAAAGCAACACAGCGTGAAGAGAAACAAAAAAAAAAACAACGAAAAAAGGGCAAGATCGTACCACACCCGATAGCGACAAAAGTGTAACATCGTCGATCGTGGTTTCTTTTTTATCAACTTCTGCTCTGAACCCGCTCGCAGATCCCTCTTTTTTCTCGCTTTATTAGCACTCTGCAGCAGAGACAAAGTTCAAAGCTTTCCCCCTCCAAAACCCCAAAAAATAAGGAAAAAAGAAATTATAGCTTCAATTCAATCTTGAATTGGCAATGGTTTCAGCTCTGAGCTAAGGATTTTTCGTTCTAGATAGGGTTGTGTTTGGGGAGGGGGGGAGCTCAAACAGTAAAAAATTCCAAATAACGAAGAGGAAAGAGCACCCGAAGTCCTGAAAATGGGCATTTGCACTTCCAAACCCTCCCCGGAACCCAATCTTCATCAAGATTCCAAGCAAAACCCTATTCCAACCAAGGATAAAAATAACCCAGCACAGGTCAAGGATAAAGGTGGAAACTCCAGCAATCAGCAATCAGCAAGAAAGCAAGAAATCAGATGCAGAATCCGCTAAAAAATCTCCGCTTTTCCCCTTCTACAGCCCTAGTCCAGCGCATTATTTGATCTGTAAGAAGTCTCCGGCGAGATCTTCCGCGAATTCCATGTCCAAAAGGTTTTTTAAGCGACCGTTCCCTCCTCCGTCTCCGGCGAAGCACAGTAAGGCGGTGTTAGCTAAGAGACACGGGTCTGTGAAGCCGAACGTGTGAGAACCTTGAACAAAAAAAAAAAAAAAAATATATATATATATATATGCATATTGCATTTGCATTTTAGACTCTTAATAACCGTTACTATTGTTGGTTTTTAAATAAGTATGTGACCATAATTTTTATATATAAATAAGTTAATTATGCAAATATTAAGTTACTTGAATCTTGCTAAGTTAAATTAATATTTCATGATGTAGAGTATTTTATTGCTTTAATATTAATTCCTTGAATTTCAATAGCTAATTTTAAGTGTTAATAACGTTAGGTGTTAATAGAAACCAGAATTAAGACCAAATTAGCCCTCCTCCATTTCAAATTAACCATGCAGCCATGGAACCTCCTAGAACAAGCTCCAAATACAAACATTTCCAGCATGCCGGTCTCATTCTTTACACTTAGAATTTCCATTCTAGCCGGTCCGATTTCCTTTTATCTACTCCACCATTCCACCAACCATAATGCCGGCTCACACCCTACTATCATACTCCACTATATCAACTGCATACCACCACAACAACACTCCAATTCTATTCCTTCCTCCTGCCGTGAGCCGAGAGTGGAGTGAGAGAGAGAGGGAGCCGAGTCCTTCATTTTCCTTTCTTCCTGTCCGCAAGCTATAAAAAAAAAAGAGACCTGTTGTTCTGAATTCCTTCCATCCGTGAGCTGGTGAGGAGATTGAGTGCCAAACCTCCTCCATTCTAGTCGCAAGCTTGACCAAGGGAGAGGGAGAGCTAGCGGGCTGCATGTTGGACTGTCGAGAGAAGAGAAACATTTCAGCTGCTAGTTGCGTGAGTTGAGCTTCCAGTTGAGGTAATTTCTGGACCTAGACTAGTTGATTAGAGGTAGATGATGTTGATTATAAGCATGCGTGTGACAGTTGTGCGGTTGGATGAAGAATTAGGACTTAGGAAATCTGATTTTGAAGAAATTGGAACTGTCCGAGAGTGTGAGCTGGAAATTTCAGCTTTTGTTTGATTAATTTGTGGTAATCTGAGTTTAAACATGTGTTTAGCTAACTAAAATCTGGATGATTAAGCTTTGCATGAGGTTAATTAGCTTTGATTAAGCAAGAAAATTGAAGGAAACAAAATCTGCTTGCATGCAAGCCAACCGAGAGCCGACTTGGATGAATTTCTGGTTGGTTAGTGATTTTGATGTTGTCCGACCTTGGTTTTGGATTAAAACTGATAGATAGTTGTTTATTTGGTCATGCATGTAGCTGATGAACTGTGATAAGAAAAAAAAAATCTAAAGTCCTAGAGTTATTTTGCTGGAATTTTTTTTCCAGGTTGTCCGTATGAAGGAAATGGTGAAGTTTCCAGCTATCTTTATGAATTTTGGTTTTGAAGCTCTATGTCAAACTATAATCCATATCATATATTGTCTTGATCTGAACATGCGCGAAAGATTTGAAGATAAATTAAAGATGTTTTGGAGGAAAATGTGTGTTTGGCTGACTGATGTGTGAAAACTGGAAAAAAAAAATTGGCCGAGAGAAGGGGCTTGAGCACTTGACTAGTTTTCCTTTGAATTTTAGCTAAGATGCTTATACTAGATATTTAAGATTAGTTTGTAGCTTGCTAATCACCTTTTGCATGTCAAGTTGAAAAAAAAAAATTGGAGAAAATTATGGACAAGGCTCTATAAGTTAATTGGTTACATTGCTGGAAATTAAATGGTGTGTTATTTATTTTGGTTTTGGTTGGACAGATTATGAGCTATGTTTCTAGTGTTTCAAGTAAGTAAAAGATGGAGGTTTAATGGACGTTTTGAATTGTCATTGCTGGAATTTTTCTTGGTTGTCAAAACAAGGGGAAAAAAATCTGAATTTTTAGAATTTTGGGAGTTAAGTTGGCCGTGGCTTTCTTTTTGTTTTGGATTGAAATTCTGAATGAATTGTGGTTGGAAGTGATTGTTTGTTGTCAAAGAGCTAATGATTGATGAAGCTCTTGGCCATTTGAGCAATTTTTGCAAGAGTTTAATTCGTGGTGGAATTGTTTAAACGGTTTGGCCGAAATGTACTTGGAAGGCCATGAATTGTGGTTTGGAATCGTTTGATATCTTGGACTTCCTTTGTTTAATTTCGATTAGAATTGATTCTGTTGAGACCTGGGGCTAATGATTGATGAAGCCCTAGTGAAATTGATGTTTGGATTGTGATTTTACTACATTGGTGACTTGGAATATAATGTATGAGTAATTTGGAGTCGTGAAGTCCGTTTTGGTCCTTTGAATTCGAGTATTTTTTATCAAGCCTTATTGAAATATTTTGTCCTAGTATCGAGCTTTAACAATTGAGTATAGTACGTTAATGCTCAAACTCGAGTGTTGGAACTTTTAAAACCTCGCTAACTAGTTAATTCTTATCTTTGCTTAAACTAGTTTTACTACTTCTAGAAAATAATTGCATTAACTTTCAAACTTTAAGTTTTTGTAAAATTATCCCTGGCTAGTTGTTTTAGAGGAAAATTGTTAAAAACATTAGATTTGAATAATTTCAAATAAAAGGCATGGAAAACTTGTTCGGCAAGAAAACTTGTTTGAATAAATTTGGTTCTAGTTTGGCCCTCTAGAAGGGAAATACCTTTAAAGAAACCATACGAAATATTTTATTCCTTTGCTAGCCTTAATTCTAAGAGATGTATTGATTTATTTTGAGGAAATGAACTAGTTATATACCAAATAATCTTATATATATATAAACTAAGAGGTTGTATAGTAAAACTTATAGTTTTAAAACTTGGTTTTCTAGGGTTTAGCGAAGACGTGGACTTCGATTCCCAGCTTGACTTTTGAGCTTGACTTTTGGTGAGTGTCCGTGCTTGTTCTATGACTAAAGTGTTAAAGTGCTTTCTTGACTTGTTATGTGATAATTGGAAAGTGGTTTTCCTGAACCATCGAAGTGGCAGTGTGTACTTTATCGCACTAACCTTTCGAGTGGTGACTTGCTTGAAATGTTTTCTCGAATATCTTGCAATTGTTGACTGGAGCGTGGACTCGTCAACTAATCTACCAAGCAAGGGAGTGTACCACACCTTAGGGTGGGAGGGCCTCTTATCCTGACTTGGTAAAAAACGTGTTGTGACGTCGTTGGGTGAATCCCTTGACTAGTTTATAATTGTGACGTCGTTGGATGAATCCCTCGACTAGTTTATAATGTGACGTCGTTGGGTGAATCCCTCGACTAGTTTACAAAAAGGTATACTCGAGTAATACCAAACTCTCTCGTGAGAAGAACGGGTCCGGTGGGAGTAAGTTGGTTGGAGCGTGTTAAGGAAAAATAATGAATCTACATGGACCTTAGATAGTGAGAGTTGACGGAGGGTCAACTACGATTAATTTTGATCAAGCTTGTGGAAAATGGCTCCTGAGAGCCCTGTATCCTACCCTGTGCTGTTATACGCTTTTCTACTTGCTGAATTTAAGCTTGAAGTTATGATTTACTATTTGTGTTATATGATTGCATGTTTTGGGGCACCACTGAGCTTTAGCTCATCACACGATATTTGTTTTCCTTAACAGGTTTTGGCATTCGAGAGATTTGAAGTCTGCTTTGATCTTTTGTAAATGTTGTTTCGAAGACGAGCGTCGTCGAGAGGGCTAGGTCAGAGGCTGCTCGTGAGGAGTTAGGGAGACAGAGGTCTCGATTGACTCGAGTAGCTGAGGAGGTACGAGATAGGAGCGCCGGTATTAGGGCCGACGCTACTATGATGATAGACGAGATCATGGGGATCATTCAGGGTACAGCTCAGGTAGGGGTTGAGGAGGATCCGGAGGAGAATTCGGAGGAGGATCCTGAGGAGAACGTTGCTCCTGGCAGCCCTGCTGAGGGTTAGACTAGGCTTGCTTTGCTTGTAAATAGGTATCCAGGGTTAGTTAGGGTGACACTAGTATAGGTCATAGCATTTTGTCTAGCTAGATGGCCTACTTTTGAGGCACTATGTCCCTATTTTTGGTTTAAGGAATTGTTTGTACATATTCGTTCAACTTGTGTGCCATACTTTTGGAAGGCACCCTAAACTGTTATTTGTATGAACTTTGGAATGTGAATACATGCGTTAAGTGTTTTATTTTCCTTTCCTTGATATTCGTGTTAATTTTACTTACAAAAGAAAATATATATATAATAATAATAATAGTAATAAGTAAGTAAATAACAATATCTTCGCTTAATGACTTCATTTATATCGATAGGCATAACTAGGCTATGGATCGACGAGTTAGAGGTAGAGAACGTGGGAGATCAACTAGACAACACCCCGAGGGTGGTGGTGATAGGGAACCTGAGGTCAATCAAGACCATGGTCAGGGAAACGTGGCCGGAGACCCAGTGGCCACCGCAATCAATAGAATAACCGATGTTCTAGAGCGCATGACTGAGCACTAAGCCCCGGGGGCAGTGCATCATCAAGGAGGCCCCATCGATACCGAGGATCGAGCATTAGAGAGATTCTTGAAGTTTGGATCTTCTAAGTTCTATGGAGGCCCAGAACTT